ACGTTTGGTTCAACTTTAATTTGACAGTGATGATTTGTTCGGTTAATTTACTTAATGCTTGTCCGGTGTGTGTTGCACGATTGTAGGGAAGAAACACAACATATATTGCTAGAATACAAGAGATAAGTTGGTAAAAATTTTCATTAATGGAGGATTTAAGTACAAGATAAGGGGCTTGTAGTCTAGTTACAAAAGTTCAAAGCAAAAAGATGGAGAATTCATGATTAAACTAGGGAGGAGAGGTCGGCGAATTCATCTTTGGCTTCCTCTGTAGCGGCCTCCAGGTCGACCACGATAGCTTTTTCTTTGTCACCGATCTCCTTTTGGCCGGCCTCCGCTTTGGCCTCCTCCTCAACTTCTTCCTCGGCCTCCTCGTGCAGAGAGTTGAAGACTTCATTGGCATAAGGCACCGTATAGATCGCCAGGAAGGCAGGAGGAGGAGACGTGAACACTTCGGTTTCAGATCCTTGGCCTAGTTTTTCACAAGCAGCCTTCCAACCGGACTTGAAGAAGATGTCCTTGGTGGCTTCAACTTGTTTGGTATAGTTATCTTCGGCCTCCTTGAAGTCGAGGTTGTTGGCCTCGTCCACGACTGTCTGCTTTGTTTTTTTTCCGCCTCTAGCTCGGCTTTCAAAGCGTCCTTCTCTTGCTCGGCCCTACCAAGCTGGCCAAGAAGCCTGGCATTGTCAGCATTGGCAATCTTGAGAGAGGTCTTGGCTCGGCCGAGCTCAACCGAGACGTTCTTGCCAGCATTATTCAGCTCGGCCACTTTATGATGCATATTGACAATTCGGTCCATGACGAGATGCTGTTTTTGGATAGCCTACAAGAAAAAGAAAGTTAGACCAAGCAAAGAAATAAACCGAGTAGAGACTTGATGAAATTCTGAATCATACCTTAGTCATGGATTTGATTGCCGATTTCACGAGCCGGGTGTTAGGGACATGATCGCTCCCGGTCACGTTGTTCGCCAACAACAATGCTTTTGATAAATCAAAAGCCAAGAGGTGCTCCTTATCTCCCTTGACTGATGCGTTGGCCGAGATCTCTTTACCCTGGTGTTTGAACTTTGGCCTCCACGGAAAGGTGGACTGAGCATTCTGTACTTGCTGCTTAGTGCTAAGCTCAGCCACGAGCTCGGCGGAGGGGTTAGCCGATCGAGCCTGTTTACCAGCTTGGAGAGACTCAGTATGTGGAGTGGCCGTGAAGGCCAGGGAAATCATGGTCCCTGAACTATGGCCGACGGCTGGAGTAGGAGGTGGCACGCTCGGTAGCTCGGTAGAAGTGGCGGTAATTAGGTTTTTAATCTAGCTCCTCTTTGCCATCTCTTCCTCTTTGGTTAATCGTATTAGGGGCACATTTGGCAGAGTTGGGTCAGGTGGAGGAGAAGGAGCCCGAAGAAATTCTGTAACCTTGCTTTTGCGGAGAGTTAAATAACGATAGGTCGGGACGTAACCGAGAAGCTCGTGGCAATCTCAGTGTCTGTAACTCAGTGCGGCCTTGATTGCCTCTTCATTCGAACACTGATAGTTGGCTTGTAACTCTTCGATAGCTGCAAAAGGAAAACAATTAGCTTGGCACAATTAATATTGACAGAATAAATCAGTTAAAAAGATGGGCTTAAAAGAAGAACTGAAGTTCTTGCTGATGTACCAACTAAGCGCATCAGTTGTTTCGTAGTTACTAGACACCCATAAGAAATCATTATCATGCATGGCCTTGTCCGGCGTGCCGGTCACTAATCGTTCTCTGCCCGATCTTATTTTTCAAATAATAGTTGAAACGTCTTTTGTTCAACCGAGCGTGTATTGACGCAAGATCTCGGCCAGACCCAGATTTAAACCAAGCCAATGATTTAACTCGGCCACGCCATTTATGATTCTAAAAGTGTTGGTGGATACTTGTGTTGGAGTGAGCCCGGTGCGTCTTAGGAACTCATAGATCAAGGGTTGCACAGGAAAGCGTAACCCTCCTTTGACTATGCTTAGCACGGTGAAGGGACAGGACTCCAACCTACCCCATGGGTTTATATCCTCTTCGCCGAGCTCCAGATGCACATCAATCGAAATACCGTATCTTCTTGGAAAGCGGCCAACGCACTCGACGTATTAACTAGGAAGCAGTAGCGCCCCATGGGAGGCCGGCTTGTTCAGCACAACAGTGTTAAATTTGTAAATTTTTTCATGGTGGTTACTCGGTCTTCGAGAGCCCTTATGTTGGTGTGTCTGGTCCCCTAAGACTCTGCAATTAAAAACCAAGTGTAAGTGATAGCGCGGGTGCGCAAATGAGCTCGACTTTAGCTCGGTCACTTTGGGCGCAACAGCGCCTCAGTCTCGATGGGTAAACTCAACAACTCGGTCACTCAAGCAGACCAGATATTAGTCCGGTCGAGCGGTACAGCGCGTTTCTTAGCTCGGTTTTCACCTAAGTTCTATAAACAAAGAACTTGCTCGGTTCACTTATGATTTTGGATCAAACGAAGGTTTGTAGCCCGGTCGGCCCTAGATTTTCACTTGTTCATCACAGAAGATGATGAACAGTGTCAAGGACAAAGCGGCAAATACAACTGGCCTAACTTCGTTTGAAGCTATGAAACCTACTGTTATCATATCCTAGACTCATCTATGGGAGTTGAGTTTGAGAACACAAGGAAAAAAAGAGTATGAAGAACAGTGGAGGGATTGAAGACTTACTGGCTAGGGAGCGGATATGAAGAACAGTGGAGGGATTGAAGAAAAAAAGAGAATGTGGAGGGAAAAAAAGAACAGTGGAGGGAAAAAAAGAGTATGAAGAACAGTGGAGGGATTGAAGACTTACTAGCTCCAATCTGAGAGATAGAGCCCCAGTGATGGTGGCGGAATAGAAGTGCCTTAAGAGAATGTTCCGATATGAGTACAATCAATGGAACTCGAAGGATGGGTGTTCTAGATTACTAGGTCGTCTGAGAAGAACATGAACAATGGAAGAAGAAATATGAAGGGGCGTGCGATATATGTATAAGAGGAGAAGATGCGCCAAAATTTGAAACTGAGGCGGCGACGCGTAATAGCAAGGTAAGTGACACAACACCAATCAGTGAACGTCACGTGTCGATGACACGACTAGTGTCAGTCTTGAAAAGATAGTTTGAGAGATTGAAGTGCCGACCGAGCAAGTCATGGGGCTGAGCGAGCGATTCAGCAGGGCGAATGGTTGAAGGTAGATAACCGAGCAGTTGAGTGACCTTAGCCGAGAAAGTAATCTTGGTCACGCTGGCGCAGACGGAATTAGGGAAAAATTGAGAGAGAGGTTTATGACCTAATATTGGGTGGAGTTGGTTTGGGCTAAGGGCAAGTCCTTGCTCGGTTAGACATTGGTTGCATTCTGGACCGAGGACTCAGTTCGGTCTAGTTGGGCCAACTTCGGATTGCCAATCCAGATGGGATATGCACTTTACAGGGTTAGACAAGATTAGCCCTTTCAACATCAAGGTGGACCGAGTAAGAGCTCAGTCATGACTAAGGAGCTTGGTTGAGCCACGGTATAGAATTGTCATGGACATCGGACAAGAAGCTCAGTCGGAAGGTGATGACGCGACGCTACGCCAAGCATAGCTTGGTGGGGAGTACTACGCGATACCACGGGACTGCAGGAAGGAGATTTCGCTGTCCGTACACATCCATACCGTTTGGCGGTTTTGTTAGATGGTGTTTAGTTGTATTAGCGCTGACACGTGGGGAAACGTGAGAGGAGAGCAAGTTCACGCGTCCAATGGGGAATGGGTGCAGAAGTGCGCGCAGAAACTATATAAACGGTGTTGCGCCCTTATATTCAGGTTTGGAACATCCTTTGGTCAGCCCTTAACTATCACTCTGTCTCCTCTCTTTTCTCTCTCTTTAAGCGTGCTAACTTGACCGTCGGAGGAATTTTTCGGCAATACACCGTTGGGTAGCTCACTTTCATTGTGTTCTCAAGTTTATCGGAGTGACGTGCAGCGTGGTCACGAGGAGTGCAGATAACGTCACACATTTGGCTCCCGTACAAAATCACATATAATTCTTGAACTCTCTTACCCAATTTAAGTTGGCTTAGATCGAAGTCTCAAGATCTTGTAAATGTCATTACAAGAATAACCAAATCTAACATCACTTCAGATCATATTTTGATTTATGATAAAAACAAATTATTTCACAAGCATCAAAGGTAACTGCCTATTATTCAATCTTTTAAATTTTTAAAAGGAAAATTCTAACAATTAAATGTTAAAAAAAAAAAATTAGGGATAATTATTTTGACTCATCATTAACATATGATCATATCCTCATTGTATTAAAAAAATTATTATTTGATTTAAATAAAATTAAAAATATATAAGCTACAAACAGTATTTTTATTTTTATGTATTAAAATTAGATTATTATATTGTTACTGTGAGTGTTTAAAATTTGATTTTGTAATATTTATTTAATTGAAATTAAATTAAATTTTTAACCTCAATACCGACCCAACGAAGTGGGAGGAGCGGGGCAATGAGACCCGCATAAAACCCGTCCTGTTATCATCCCAACGCCAACCACCAACCCAACAGGTGTGGCCAAAAGTCACTTGCGTGGAGATCAGCGAAAAAGCTAGAACTCCTCCCTAGCTAGTTGTCTCGTTCGAAAGGCTGTACTGTGTACTCTAAGAAGTGGGTTCACGTGCTATCTCATCTCACCAACTAAACTCTGGCTCCGTTTGACAAGGAGGTGCAAAATTATTTTAATCACAAAAAATAAAATAAATTATTTTAATTATAATAAATAAAATATTATATTTAATTTATAATTATTATATTATTTATAAAAAAAATCAAAAAAATTAAAAAATCATCTTCAAATCAAACTTTTTAATCCTAATTAAAATAATTGAAAAAACAAAAAAACTAACTCACTTCCGGAACGGAAGCGGCTCCATCAATTGTTGTTATCTCCAAAAACCCATGAATAAGCAATTTTATCTTTGCAAATAGTTCATTATTTAATTCAATTATTTATATAGCAACGTTTTTAGAGCACAAAACCCAATGGAAGCAACACCACTATTGAGTAGTAGTAGCAAACTAGGCCTAGCACTGGTTCTCAGACCCTCCTTTTCTTGGGTTTCATCTGTTTCAAATACGGTACTGTACACGGGTCCTCAGACCCACTTCGCAGCAACAACAAATTCAACAGCAATTGCATTTTCTCTGTTGCATTCGATCAGGTGAGGCTGTAGTTTGACTTTGTTTTCCGATTATTTCATTCACTTAAAAAGATGGGTTTCACTCACTTGGAAGAGAAATTAATTGGGTTCAGTCCAAAATCTAAAATTAGTGAAGCAATTATTAGTATGATCAATATTGTTGTTGATGTTGTTTCTTAAGATGATGATTATAATATGATATGCACATTTGGTTTAGAATATGATTCACTTAAAATGTTAGTTTCACTCAATTGGAAGAGAAATTAATTGGGTTTTGTCAAAATTATAAAGTTAGTGAAGATATTATTGGTATGATCAAGGTGGTTGTTGTTTTTTTAAGATAATGATAACAGTATGCACATTTGGCTTGGAATATATATATTTTTAATGCTTATGATGTTTGGTTTTGTTATTGTTGTTTTATGATGATGTGTAGAGTTTGGGTGTAGCTTCTAAATGCATGAACTGTCTATAAACTGTTGATTACACTATCTATGTGCATTTCTGTTCCAATGTAAGAATTGGGGGATTGTTAAAAGTAATGGGTTTGATTCTATTGGTAGTTTTGTGAAAGAGGGGTGTAATTTGTTGTCAGTGTCTATTTCTGATATTTGGGTTTTGACTCTGCTTAACAAAATGGACTTGTGCTTTCCAAAACTCGATATGTAATTCTTTAGTTTTCTTTGATCACCGGGGCAGATTCCTGATAAAGTTATTCGGGCTGCAGAAAGAAGAGGATTAACAAAAGGTTGATAGTGTCTAAGATGGCTGAGTCTGAAGAGATGGCCGTGACTTCTGATGTGAAATCGGGAAATATGGTTTTTGAGCCTGTTCTAGAGGAAGGGGTTTTCAGATATGATTGCATTGCGGATCATAGGAATGCAGCATTTCCCAGTCTTTCTTTTGTTAATCCCAAAGATAGGGACAAACCAATTATGACTAGCCACAATGTCCCTTCATATATCCCTACTTTTGAATGTGTTCTTGGACAACAAATTGTTCAAATTGAGGTCAGTTACATAACATCATTTATTGTCTTCCTCACCATAAGTATTTACTTTATTCTTTGTAGATATTTGTGGTTATGCATTTATAAATTTTGCTTCACATTTCACTGATGTAATTGAATTTTTGTTTTGATTTAGCTTCCAATCGGTACCTCATTCTATGGAACCGGAGAAGTTAGTGGACAGCTTGAACGGACGGGGAAGAGAGTAAGTTGAATTAGTTTGTGATCACTGAAAACTTTTGTTCTTGTTCTTCATGTATTGAGCAATTATCTTATATAAACAGGTTTTTACATGGAACACGGATGCCTGGGGTTATGGGTCTGGTACTACGTCCTTATACCAATCGCATCCTTGGGTGCTAGCTGTTCTTCCAAGTGGAGAGGCACTAGGGGTTCTTGCTGATACAACACGACGATGTGAGGTACTTGTGATTTTTTATTTATGTCATTTTGTCATGTATATGACTATCAAATGGATAGCTGCGTTAATGGTCAATTTTATTTTTTTTATGCAGATTAATTTGCAGAAAGAATCAATAATAAAGTTTGTTGCTCCATTATCATATCCTGTCATTATATTTGGTCCATTTTCTTCACCAACTGATGTTTTGATATCTTTATCTCATGCAGTTGGTAATCTTCTAAAGCACTTTATAATTTGTTCATTAAATCTACTGTATAACATCTTTGAATGCTTTTATTCAGCTCTCCTGTAATTTTCTGTCGTAGTTCTTGGAGACAAAGAAAGAGAGAGGATGCTTAAATTATGTACTTTTGATTCTTTTCAATTTTTTATCGTTTTCGGCCGCTGATACATTTGTGCTTTAAATAGCTGCTTCATTTTCACTGGAGATTGTGGTGTCTGTATTTACCAGTTCAAGAAAATGCATACATTTGGATTTTGGATGATATGGCATATATTTTTTTCTTTGCTAGTGTTCTGCCATTGTTGTTGTTGTCGTTTCCCACTTCTGGATAGTAACTTACTACCAGTATAACTGGTAATTTTCTCACCAGGTACTGTATTTATGCCACCAAAGTGGTCACTGGGGTATCATCAATGTCGCTGGAGCTATGACTCTGATGCACGAGTTCGTGAGGTTGTTACTTCTGCATTTAAAGCGCTAAATAAATTCTCTCTCTATCTCTCTCTGTCTCTCTCTCTCTCTCTGTGTATAAATGTTTGTTTGTGCATATCTATTCTTTTCCACTGTTTTTTTTGTTTTGTTTTTGGTATCTTATGACCAAGTTCACAATCAAGGTGGTATTTGACATACAATATATGTTTGGTTTCTTGTTTTTTTGATGAGTAAAAGCTGATCCTCACATTTATAATTGTGGAAGTCATTTTATTTTTACCTTTCAAAAGAAAACAGAAGAAAGCTGTGAATTTTCTATAATTGCCTCTGCTTTCTAGATATTTTGATCCTTGTAGTTTCACTTATCCATTCACATATGCAGATTGCCAGAACATTTCGAGAGAAAGGTATACCTTGTGATGTCATATGGATGGATATTGACTACATGAATGGGTTTCGTTGTTTCACTTTTGACCAGGCATGTCCTCATTAGACGATCTTAGTATATATATCCCTGGTACCATAAATGATTAGAAAATGGTTAGCTATTCCCTAGACCCTCCTGCCATTATTGACATGGAAAATGAACTATTGTGATTTTTATCAGGAACACTTTCCGGATCCAAAATCTTTAGTGAAAGATCTTCATCTCACTGGATTCAAAGCAATCTGGATGCTTGACCCAGGGATCAAACATGAAGAAGGATACTTCGTTTACGATAGTGGTTCTGAAAAAGATGTCTGGATTCAAACAGCTGATGGAAAGCCTTTTGTTGGTAGATCACTTTATGCCTTTACATTCATGCTTGACCCAGGGATCAAACATGAAGAAGGATACTCATTTTCAAGCTTTAACTCTGTTTTTTAGGGGAGGTTTGGCCTGGGCCTTGTGTTTTCCCTGACTTTACACTGTCTAAAACACGTTCATGGTGGGCTGGTTTAGTGAAAGATTTCATTTCTAATGGTGTTGATGGTATTTGGAATGATATGAATGAACCAGCTGTTTTTAAGGTGATGCTCAGAACACTTCCTCCCTTGCTTGCATATTTTTTAATTTGTTCATGGTCTTAGCATGTTTCTTCACAGGCTGTAACAAAGACGATGCCTGAGACCAACGTGCATCGTGGAGATATTGAACTTGGAGGTTGTCAAAATCACTCGCATTATCACAATGTATTATCCATAGCTCTATTCTTATGCTTTACATTTTACATTTTTATAAAGATCTTCAGCCCCATCTTATGGTTGCCACTATGATAAGCTTTAGAACTTATATTTATTTATATTTGATGTCCTTTGTAGGTTTATGGGATGCTGATGGCACGATCAACATATGAAGGCATGAAATTGGGCAAGGAAAATAACCGTCCTTTTGTTCTTACCAGAGCTGGGTTTATAGGTAGCCAGAGGTATGCTGCAACATGGACAGGAGACAACCTTTCTACTTGGGTGCACCTTCATATGAGTATCTCAATGGTCCTTCAACTTGTAAGTGGACGGGATTTTGTGAAGCTTGACCAGAAATTTTGATTTTTGTGTTTTTGAGCTTGTTTTAAGTTTGAACTTTAAAAGTGTTGTCAATAGTTGACCTTCTCCTTGGACCTACCTATAGCTTTTTCTTTGGAAGACTTGGAACTACAAATTAGTTAAATAAACCCAACATGCTAGGCGACGCTTTAGAAAATCTATCAACAACAACAAAAACGTAGTCCATACCTCTTTCTAAGGAAGACAGCATGCTCAGTGCTTCACCCACTCTATTATGAATTCCACAGTTGTGTACTAAAGTGAAATTAAACACCTGCAGGAATGAGACCTATATTTATCTAATTGTGTCTAGTACTTGTGTTTTGAAGGTTAATAAAATCTCTTATTGTTAATCTTCCTTTGCTTGTCACTTGATTCTTTTGGTCTTCCATTAGAGTCTTTATTTTTCTTTAATTCAAGGAAGTTTTAAAACAAGACATTGAACCCCACAAGCAATTGTCTGCCCTTGTGATTGTTATGTCAAGAGATTTCTTTGTTGAGAAAGAGAATAATGCTTCACATACCCAGATTGCTTAAAGTTGGATTAGATATATGGGAGAGAATTAGGTTTCTATTTTAAGTTAAACATGCTATCATGTCGAGCTTTTTGAATATGAGACATTTTGCCAACGAAAATTAATTTTTCATTCAGGGGCTCAGCGGTCAGCCGCTTTCAGGACCAGATATTGGTGGGTTTGCGGGGAATGCAACCCCTAAGCTGTTTGGAAGGTGGATGGCTTTGGGTGCAATGCTTCCTTTTTGTCGTGGACATTCAGAAACTGGCACCATTGACCATGAGCCTTGGTCTTTTGGGGAAGAGGTTTGTCTGTACTTCACAGTGACAATTAACAATTTTACTGCTTTTGAACTTTGTGATTTGGGTTCAAATGTTTATTCAACTGATGTTTGTAATCAGTTCTACAGAAATACTAAAAGTGATTGTGGATAACATAAGCTTTGGGAGGAGGCTAGGAGCTTCACTTGAATGAACTAAGATGCTAAAATATGCATGTTTATGGTTAAAGAGTTCATAGTGCTTCCTTCTCTTTCTATATAGGAGTTACAAAGTATTTTACAGAAATTGTTCACCTTCTGGAATTACCTGAATTTACTGTGAATAGCTTGGCGCATTTGAAACTGCCAAAGAAGCGTCTCTAGTATCCTTCTGGAGCCATTTGAAAGGGTCTTTCACAAAATGACCAAAATATCCCTTGGATAGGCCAAATTCTGTGCTAAAAGAAGAGTAGGTGATTTTGAAAGGTAGGACAGGTGGTATTCTTTTAAGAGCTTTAAAATAAGCACAAATAAAACCATTTGCATGCAATGTATACATGAAAACAAATGCAAAAGGTGAACTATACAAGATTTTCATTTTCCTAGAAGGTTCTCCTAGGAAAACTTCTAATGGATAATTGCCATGCCTCTCACCACATTCAATCCTGAAAATTTTTCCATTTTTCTAGAGGGTTCTCCTAGGTTAATTTGGTTTTCTGTTATGTTACTCGATGTTGAGAAGGGAATCAAACTGCAGATTGTTGGCTACAATTTCTTGTGACTTGAGAAGTGCAATTTGTACGACATCCCTCATATTCTGAATGAAATTACTAGTCATGATATGATTGGTTGCAATTATACCAGATAGAAATCAATACAGTCACTCTTTTGTAGCTTACTTTTTCTCTTTTTCTGGCCAAGGCTCGTGCATCTGTAGTACTGTACCCAGGTTATACTTCTGATTTGTAATTTGTTAGTGTTGAAACAGACTCAGCTGTCAATTTGTGGATGGCTTCTCCTCCTAGCAGTGATGATTTATCATCTGAAAGGTTACTTTCCTATTTTCGAAGGCTAGGACTTCATCATGTAGTTTTCCTTTGTTGATTTCTTCTGATGGCCTTGTTTAATTCTATGATTTTGCAGCTTGATGGAGTCACATACAAGATCGGTAGATCCATTGCTCAATTCGTACAGTGACTACGAAGACAAGGTCTATGGTGATTGCTGCAGTGTTCATTATTCTTCTTCTCTACATATGTATAAAGCTTAATGTCTGAATTTAGCCTGACTAGTTTTACCAAAATTGCTGGTCTTGCTTGGAGTTCCCGAGAGCCATGGATTTTTGCATCATTATCCTATGATGGGAGGGTAAGTGCAATTTTATTGTATAATGGATTGGAAACATGGGACAAGATTTAAAATTCTAGCTTTTGGTTATTGTTCTTTGTCGTCCATAAAAGGATAGAAAATTATTGTTCTTACTTTATGTGCCTAAGGCTGATTTTCGTGAAGCCACATGTAGGCAGTATGAAGAGAATGCCTGCAATCGTGGTGGGTATTGCAACTTTATGCATCTGAAAAGGATTGGCAGGTAAGCATCCTTGATGTGTTTGTTTTTGTCTCATCTATATTTTGCAAGGTATTACAGTTGAGCAGAGCCTGATTTTGTTTCTAAAACGATTCATCTTACTGTTATGAACGATAGAGAGTTGAGACGCCAATTGTTTGGGAGGTATCGCTCAAGGCATAGCCGCAGTCGGAGCAGAAGTTGAAGTCCTTATAGGCATCGCAGCTATGATGAGCGCCCTCATGGAGGTTGTGGGCACAGTAGAAGGATACTGTAGGTGATGTATGGCACATACGAGGGGTACTTCAGTTGCAACTCCTACTTTCTTTGCTGGTGGGATGCTGTTGAATTACTTTATTTCAATTGTATTGAATTTTAAAGTATTTTTTGTTTTATTCTGGAGAGTGCAAGTTTTTATTAATTGTTGTGCAGATCCTAAAGATCCCAGGCTAAGAACACAGGAAAATTCATTTATGTTGGGACCATTACTAATATATACAAGGTTGCCATTCTTTTCCTTTGGAGATGAAGCATTAGTTCATTGTAGAATTTCATATGTATATGTATTCTCTTTTCCTTGCTTCTTGGAATTGCTAAGTATTCGTTTGAATGATTCCCTCTTACATTTAATTCTTGGTTGCACTAAGTGGGAGAGGGGGTAATGGAGCGAGGGCACATTACAGAGTTTGAGGTTGGAAGGGTCTAGGGGGGCAATTAAAAATATAAGTATATACTATATATTTGCTTGTAATATATACATTTAATTTATGCATAACACTGCCACTTGAAACATTAAACATAAGCATAGTACATTTTTATATATTGATATGTTCATCATTTTTTGTTGCACATATTGTATATCTAGAAAGCATGGACACTCCAAAATGGGTGCCTTGTCGGTGTCCAACATGTATCAGACATCGACACGCTGCAGATGTGTGTCCACACAGTGGTGGACATAAATGGATGTCCCCCCCCCCCGGTGGAGCAAAAAATGGCGGTGCAAACAAAAAAAAAAAAAAAAAAAGTTTCCCAAATCTTGATTAGTTCCATACAATTTTAAGTATTTGTAAGAGAAATTACACATTTTGACACCCTCAAAATCTATATAAATTTTACTTTGGGCGCCCAAAAATCTAATAATTTTACCTTCTAAAATATAGATAGTTATTGTACTTTTTGATCATATCTTCTTCCTTTCACTTCCCACATGTTTTCATGGTGGGTGTTTTTTTTTTTTGTTTGTTTTTTTCTCCTGTGGGGTTGGGAGTGCTAATATATCTTGATTCACAGAACTTCAACTAACTTCTGGTTTCATATAAATCAGCACAGTGAGTGACCAGGGGATCGATCAACTGCAGCTTGTGTTGCCTAAAGGCATTTGGTTGAGTTTTGATTTTGATGATTCACATCCGGTATTTGTTCCCGTATATCTAGATCTCATTCTTTGTCCTTCTTGTGTTCACTAGTATTCAATTTCTTGGTCTCATTTTTTTCTTTTTGTACAATTTTCTGAATATACATCAGGATTTACCAGCACTATATTTGCAAGGTGGATCGATTATTCCTTTGGGTCCTGCTATTCAACATGTTGGCGAAGCTAATCCAACAGATGATTTATCACTACTTGTGGCTTTAGATGAGCATGGTAATTTTTCTGTAGTTCAATGTCATAGGAGAAGTCTTGGAATGCTACTGTAGGTTCAATATATCGCCTCATTTGTAGTTTAATGTTTAACATGATGAGTTATTGTGGTCTTCAATGTCTGAGTTATATTGCCTCATTTTTTTTTATTTTTTTTTGTGCGTGTGAAGCATCAATTTTTTCTCAAGTTTTCACTGTTTGGCTATGAGACCAAATATTTGGGGAATTATGTTACTATGAAAAAAAAAAATCCTAAAATTTTGTAGTAACAAGGGCATCCTGCATTTCTATTATGACAAACTTAAAATAACAGAGAATATCTAATTTGCACAAAAGCATCTCATGGGTGTCCTGATTTAATATAAACTAGCATGGCATACGACAAAAACTAACTGATACAGCTTGGTTAATAGCTTCTATACAACTTGGATTCTGATGATTGCAGGTAAAGCTAAAGGTGTTCTCTTCGAAGATGATGGCGATGGATATGAATTCACTAGAGGTGGATATCTTTTGACAACGTATGTTGCTGAACTTGAGTCTTCAGTTGTTACTGTGAGAATCTCCGAAACTGAAGGGTCATGGAAGAGACCAAAACGTCGTTTACACGTACAATTATTACTTGGTGGATGTGCAATGGTATATCTTCTGTCTGCAAAGTACAAAGATTTGTTTACAAGAATTCCTTGTTATTATTATGTACTTCAGCATTGGATGTGTGCATTTTATTTGTGTTTCTGAAATTCCTTGTTTCCTCAATCAGCTTGATGCATGGGGCATTGATGGAGAGGTTCTTCAAATCATGATGCCTTCAGAAGATGAAGTGTCTAATTTGGTATCTATGAGTGAGAAACAATACAAGATTCGTATGGGTAATACTGCTCGTTCAAACTTTCTGAAGTTTTTACATTTTTTTTTTCTTCACCTTCAACCTTCTCCTTAATTTCTTAGGGAGAATTCCAATGCTTCAAGTGATTGATTTTTTCTTCTCTTTTCTGTTTTCCTCGAGTGGAATTGATCGTAATGAAACTGTTTATGTTATTTAATGTAGTTTACTTTTGAAGCTGTAGATATGTCCTAATTAACACCTTCATGATGTTCACTAAATGAGCTGAGTCCTTGTTTATTTTTATTTTATTGTTCACAAAATACATGCTTATGTCTGCAACATGTGTTCTTCTATACTAGTTTTTTTTCTTTTCTTTTTTTTGGAAATTTAATTTTAAGTAGTCTTGTATCATCTATGATTTCATGAATGGAACATTATGCTCTATGATGCATTTCGTACGAAAGTTCATTCCTGATGATGCATTATTGTTTCTTTCTTTCTTCTTTTTTTGTGTGTGTGTGTGTGTGTGTGTGTAGAAGATGTAATATGCAGAAATTCTAATATGGGATATCATATCCCTTTTTGCCATGGATTATGTTTCTGAAGAATTTAGTAACCTAATGTGTTTTAAATTATTTATGTTAGTGGACACTTAAAGTCAGAAAATCGTTAGTCATTTGAAACAAGTTCTTTTGTGACATGTGATTTGTGAATATGTTACCAGTGTCATGCTGTTGTGTAATAAGACGTTATATGCAGAAAATGCTAAGCGTATTCCAGAGGTGGAAAAGGTTTCTGGACGGAAGGGAGTAGAACTTTCAAGGACTCCTATTGAACTGAAAAATGGTGTTTGGGCTCTCAAAGTGGTTCCTTGGATTGGGGGAAGAATTATTTCAATGGAGCACCTTCCTTCAGGTAAAGCTTACTTAATCACTCAAATGTTTGTTTTATTAATTGGAGAGACTCCAGATATTTTCTTTATCTTTGGATTTGTGATTTTCCTGAAAAGTGGATTTTTAGGTCTCCTGGTTGAACTTGTTTCTTTCTTTGTTTACTTTGCTTTTCTTTTTTGTTCTGTTTTAGTTTTCTATCTGTTTCCATGTCATTATGGTTCTCAACATCCTAACAACCTGCTCTTCCTCATCCAAAATGCTTAAGATTCTTTTGCAACTATCAACATGGGTGCATTCCTTTGACTGTTAAATATCTGGCTGTTGGGTTTTCTATTACTAATTTAATATCTGGTGCAATACGTAATTTTGTAACAATGTCTGAAGTGAAGTTGTATTTGTATTGTTGCCATACAATTGAGGAAATCGTGATTGCAGGAAATCCTTACCAAAAGGTGATGATGGACCCTGTATGCATGTTTCTAATTATACATGTTTCTTAAAGGAGTTCAAATATGACGGAAGTAGGATGAGTACCATATTATTCTGCATCTAAAAATGAATTGGTTGAGGTTTGATCAGAGCTGAGTTTTGCTATGAAACTGAAGGATAGCCTTTCTGTTTGGGTGGGAAAGGGAGAGTGGGAGTTAATAAATAAGACTAGGGTTTGAGGATTGAATGGATATGTTTTTTAGATGAATATGAGTTTGTCTTTTTGAATGCCTGATTGTAACTGCTAATTGTACGCAACAAATTGACAAAAGAAAGATAAAGACAAGAAAAAGAAGAAGAAAATGGAGAAACCTTAGAACATCCTAATGCCTTTTATGAGTTTCACCTAAAAGAAATCAGTGGAGTCTCACCATAAACACACAGCAAAATTGGTAAGAATTATTGTTAATCAAAGTTGTTGAACTATTATTTGCTTGCTTGTGTGAAAGCAGAGAATTTTTCCTCAATAGACAATGAAGTTCCTTAAAGCCACTTGACTAAAGGTTTCTTACACTAATTTATGGCTAAAGTTTTTTTTTTTTTTTTGATCGGCCACTGATTTATGGCTAAAGTAATTCCAGATAAGTAAGGACTAGATGAAACCTGTAACCAAACACCTGATTAACCTGTCCAATTGAGCATATTATTACTGAAATAATCCTTCAAAGTTGCTCTTCTGTTTGTTTGAAACCTGTAACCAAACACCTGATTAACCTGTCCAATTGAACATATTATTACTGAAATAATCCTTGAAAGTTGCTCTTCTGTTTGTTTCTTTGGTTGTATTGTGGCAGGAACTCAGTGGCTTCATAGTAGGGTTGAAGTTGGTGGGTATGAAGAATTTAGTGGTACTGAGTACCGGTCTGCTGGATGGTCTGAGGAATATACTGTCATTGAGTGAGTTATTCAATCTTTAATTGAGTTTTTCAAATGAAAAGAAATAGTGATATAATTGCATTCATAATAATTTATATTTGACCCAAATAACCACCTTTAAATTTTTGTCCTAGCTGACTACATATATAATTGATGAGGACGTAAATATTAGGTCACCCATTTACCTTGTGTTAAAACCTGATATCTTGTCCTAGTCACGCGTGGAAGTTTGTTAATGTGCAATACATGCTTCTGTTGAGCCATACTTGCTTGTAAGGCATTTATTATTTGAATCAATATTAACTACTTGATGTGTGAATTGCAGTTTCCATTCTTATTGGAATACTTGACAATGGCTTGCATTGTTTCCCTTGCAACTAAAAAGGAATTTTGCAGTTTTTAACTATTTCATGTGGGACAATGCCGTACTCGTCTTGAAATTAAGTTCTTTATCTCTTATGTTTATTTCAGTGTATGGTAAATAAATTCTTACCACTCTTCATTTTTTCCTCAAATATTTTAGTTATAAACTTTTTCCTATCTGTGAGTGAAACGAAAGTTTTAGAACTGTCTAAAATTGCCCTCTCAACTATATATATTTTTTGGTTTATATGTTTCCATCATCCAAAATTTCAAGAGACTTTAGGATCGGATTTTCATGATATTCTTCAACAGATAAAAGTTGAACTCTGTTCATGTGTTTGCCTTGTTTATCCTGAGAAAACACAGTTTAGCATCAGATGATTAATGACTACTGTTTTGTAATGCAAATGCTTTATACATATGGGTTTATAGGGTCTTAAATCTGGTCAATCAAAGAGACAAAGTGGATGAATTAATTTTGGGTTTACTAATCCAAAAATAATAGATACTGTTTCCCCCCGCTTAAAAAGTATACCCGTTATAGTTTTAAAATTTTCTTTCTTTATAGGCAGAATCTTGAGCAAGCAGGAGAGAGAGAGTCTCTTATGTTAGAAGGTGACATTGGCGGTGGAGTAGTTATTGAACGGCATATATCTTTTCCAAAAGATAATTCAAACATTTTGCGGATTGACTCGAGCATTGTAGCCCGCAAAGTTGGTGCTGGTTCTGGTGGATTTTCAAGGTTTACTCTTGCTTTTCAGTTTTTTTGTTTTGTTTTGTTTTGTTTTTTTGCTGTGTTTGCTTTTCAGTTTTAGATATATATTGTAAACTTGTTATCCATATTCTTTATTTAGCTTAGTCATATTGGGTTATTGCATATTGTACATTTGACCTATGATTCTTCCATGTCATCTATAGCAAGTCCAAAGAGGTTTTCCGTATTTTGTTGGAATGTTTCCTTGAAATATATGCAATTTGTATTTTTCATTGGCATTGAATAGTATATTCAACAGAAAATCTGTTTGGATCAATTTTTGAGTCATTTCTCTTCATACTACAAGATTTTATTTTTCCCTCTCATTGGCCTTATTGCACAGAAGTTTGTAATTTACATTATTTTGTAGGCTTGTTTGCTTGCGAGTGCACCCAATGCTTGCACTGTCGCACCCGACGGAAACTTATGTCTCATTTACCTCCGTTAATGGTTCTCATCATGAAGTTTGGCCAGAATCCGGTGAGAAATTTTTTGAAGGGGACCTGTGCCCTAATGGTAATACTTCTCTCTCTCTCTCTCTCTCATTGGTTCGTTAGAAAGTTAAGCTGCTTGGCAAGGGCATAGAAAGTACAAAAAAGTGTTGTTTGCAAACCCAGAAATTAGGTTAAATGAAAAGGAAAAATTGTAACTGCTACTATATGCACAATGAGCTGAACTTCCCATGAGTTCTTATTTGTTCCCTTTGTTGTTTTTATTTCAGGTGAATGGATGCTTGTTGATAGATGTCTTGGCTTGGGTTTAGTCAACCGGTTCAATGTCAGCGAGGTGAACAAGTGTTTCATACATTGGGGAACCGGAACAATCAATTTAGAACTTTGGTCTGATGATAGGCCCGTTTCAAAGCAATCACCTCTTAAAATTTCTCATGAGTATGAGGTCAGAGGAATCGCATAATTATTTTCTCTCTAGATATGAAAAAAACTCCTGTCAATGGATGCTGAAATGTGAAGCAGCAAACTACAACTGATATTTGAGTATGTGTTTTTGCTATATCCAATGACCTATTTTCTCTCTAGATATGTAAGAAACTTCTGTCAATGGATGCTGAAATGTGAAGCAGCAAACTACGACTGATATTTGAGTATGTGTTTTCACTATATCTAATGACCTATAAACTACTTTTTTCTCCCTTTACCCCAATGAAACCTCGTCCTCCTCCTATTTTATTTTATTTTTTGTGACGAGAAACTTCCTGAGGTAAGAACAGACCTATAAATTCCAGATATTGCCATGGAAACTTTTGTGTCGTCTTTCCCTCAGTGGGTCTATTTAGGGGAAGACGCTTGTGAAAGTTCCAAGTTATTGATGCTTAGGCCTCGTTTGGCAAGTGGTTTTTTCAGTCAAAAAGTCATTAAAAAAATCAAAAAGCCAACAACCTATATCAAAAAATCAAAAATTTCACTTTCTTTCTAAAATAACGAAAATTTTGACCACCATATTGAAACCCTTATTTTCCCTTTTTCTGTCCATTGATATGAGAGAATTCATAAATTATTATACAAATTACATCTCTATTTTATTTAATTCATTCGTTGATGCTCTAATACAAAACTTTTGAGCAGAACTCTCACGCTTGAAAATCGCCTTGCAAAGAGAACGTATCCAAATAACTTATATGCATAGGCCACAGTTTTTGTTAACTGATATGGGATCGTAAAACGCTATCTTTAGTCTCTAATGTGCGACAAGCGATCTTTGATTTTGTTATAGTCAAACCACTTTGGTTTACTACTTTAGCAGATTAATAATAGTCTCTCACACTGATTCTTGTAATATCTATTGTTAATAAATCGACTTGTGATATATATTGTTAAAAAATCGACTTATAATTGTAATCAAATCAGGTCTAAATTAGTTTAAAAAATATAAAAAAGACATCTAAATTGAGTTTTTAAAGTCAAAATGTCACTCAAGCCATTCTACTATTCCCACACGCGCATGAAGTTGCTGGTCACCTACTCATTCTTGAGGTTTCGAGGAAAGCTATGTTTATGGATGCTTGTAATTTGGTCGGACTACTTATATTCGAATCAATTCTAATTCTATTAGTAGTTAAAATAGATAAAAAAAAAAATTATAATATTTAGCCTACGTTTGGGAAGTGGGTTGGCTTTTTGACTTTTTGACTTTTTTGGCTATTTTAGCCTGGGCTAAAAAGCTTGGTTTGGGAAGGGCTTTTTGGCTTTTTAGCTTTTTTGAATTTTTTTGTGAGAGAAGAGTATAATGATTATGGGTTGGATGTGATGTTTTGTTTTTTGTGGCTAAAATAGCCTATTTTGTCTTTTATGGCTAAAATAGCCAAAAAAGCCCCAAAATTTTCTTCCCAAACGTAGGCTTAGTATATATTTCAACACTGTTTTGTATCTAGCTCTCTGATTACAGTTATATTTCTCCATTTTAACTGGCTAAAAAATTGAGATAATTTTTAGTTTTTTTTAGTTTATTTGATAGTTGTGAGGGAAAAAATAAAATGATTGTAATTTGGATTTGATATTTTATCTTATTAATTATTTTAACTTATTTTATCTTTATTGATTATTTTAACAAAAAAGTTGCATCTCAAAACCTGAGGCCTCTTTTGAATATTACTAAAAAGGTTAATTTATTGGCTTATTGAGGTCACGTTATCTTTCTATTTTTTTATATGTTTTTTTGTAATAAATAAAAAAATAAGACTCCATTTGGTTTAGTTTTTAAATCAACTTTTGGATTGAAATATTCAAAAACATGTTTGGTTTACAATTTTAAAAATTGTTTTCAAAATTATTTTCTTCCTCCTCTCTCTTCTCTTCTCTCTTATTTTCTTATATTCTACATATTAATCAATTAATTTTTTCTTACACTCATCTATTCAACAACTTAAAAAAAAAAAACAAAAATGATACATTTCTATAATTTTGGAGCTCTAAACAGAGCTCTAATGACTTGACAATGAAAAAAAAGCATAAGACACAAAAATCACATCATTGTGAGGCCCTATACATCATTAGAGCCCTCTAGAGCTCTACCATTAGAGCTCTCAATCTTTTTTCAAAAAAAAAAAAATATATAAATCATTTTAAAATTATTTTCAAAATATATAACCAAACAAAATTTTAAATTTTACAAATTCTTTTAAAAAATTCTTTTTTAAAATTAAACCAAATGAAACCTAAGATTATAAAGATCTAAGTAAATATATTTTTTAATTTTTTATAAAATATATATATATATATAAAAAAAAATAAAATAATCTTATTTGTCTCTAAAAAAAGTAGATTTCAGAAATATTTTTGTCAAAAAAAATATTTAATATTATTTGATTGACCTAAATCTTTTTTAAAAAAAAATGTTTTTAAAAAATAAATACAATAAAATAAAAGGTTACCATTGCTGGACAACACAATTATTTTTTGGGGTATTTTTTTTAAGGTCCCTGATATTATGATTTTATAGTATAAAGGACATCAAATATTTTCATGAAGTCTAAGGTCCCTCAACATCAATCCAGAGAAAATTAGTCCAGAGAAAATTCAAGTCAGAGAAAATTAGTCCAGAGAAAATTGGTCTAGAGAAAATTCAAGTCAGAGAAAATTGGTCCAGAGAAATTCTGGACTTCCCTAAACTTCCCACTATAAATTTCTCTGCCCTTTTTTTTTTTTGAACATAAGAATTCCCCTACCTCAACCCACTTCCTTGCTTAACTGAAACACTACTCTCATTTCCTTGCCATATCTTGTTTCATTCTTTTCCGCATATCTGATACAGAAGAAGCTTCTACTATAAAACCAACAAAAACAAATATATAGCGGAAGAAAGTACTCCAAAAGAAAGTGCTCCAACAAAAACAACAATTTTGAAACAAGTTCTGAAATCCAAACCAAACATGACCGAATTTTGCAGCCATTTTGATGCATTTGTGTAGTAGCCAATGTGTTCCGTAGCATCATGGACCAAACAAGGAACCGATAATCTGTTGGCCCCAGAGAAATTTGATAGCATCAAAATGTGTTTAACCAATCATATTACTAGCAACTGCTGCACACACGATGTATGAAAAACAAGTGCCCTATCAAACAAATGAATAAGCGCAATTATTTTACGCGTGATAGTCATGATCCTATAATAAAAAACATTGACACAGCTTTTCTCTAATGCCTTCACTGCAAGGTGAGCACCAATGAAAATTTTCTATTCCTTAAGAGACTTTAAAATGTTTGAGCATTGCATTATCAAAAAACCCAATTTAACATGCATAGCTCATCTATTTTCCATTTCAACTAAAAACTAAATGACCCATCATTCTTAAATTGTACATACCATATCATTGAAGATGGTGCCTTGGTGAAACATTTCGTTTTCATTAAGAACTTCTAACCTTGCTTCAAATAATTCGACTGCAACAGAATTCGTGGAGCCCTATCTGAAGTTGAAGTCCATCCTTTGGACAGATTACAATCTCAAACTTTGTGTTCTTGCATAATTTCATAACTAAAAAACATTAATGAAAACGAAAATTTAGAGAAATTTGAATTTCTCTGGGTTGAATCTAGAGAAAATTCAAATTTCTCTGAATTGAATCCAGAGAAATTTGAGAAATTCTTGGGGCCTCTACTCATGAGTTGTTGCCTTCGACGCTTCTGAGAATGCATCAAACAATGAAGCAGCAGATCAGCGCCGGAAACATGGACAGTCCAGCGTTGGAAACAAACTCCCACCTCTTCACAACAACCTACACAACGTACCCTAAACCAGCGGTACGCGCAAGAAGAGGACCCTCGGAAAAATGCCATTGGCGCCGGATTTTGAGAAGCGACGCCATAGCCAAGCTTCCATGCACCACCGAAGCACTAAGCATTGCAAAATAAAAAAAATATAACTCCAAGATCAAAATATCACATCATTAATGACGGAACCCACTGCCACCTAATTAGTGCTCCCAAACATTTTTCTAATTCATAAAATAATTTATAATGAGATTAAACAGAAATACTAGGGTGTCAGTGTGATTTACCTTGAAACTATAAATAAAAGGAGAGAGAGAAGAAGAGGAGTAAGAGAGAGAGAGAAGCAGAAGAAGGAGGTGAAATGAGTGCGATAATGGCCGACGACCAACAACACGTCCTCTGGAGAGAAAATCGTGGCGACGATGATGACGATAAGATGAGTGATTTCCCGCACAATCTCATATCATATGTGAACAACAATCAATTCCTCTGCGATCGCGGAATCTTCAACAGAGGCTCTGTTTTCTCGACTCTACAACACCACCCCCCTTCCCAACCTTCTCCTTTCTCCAGTCAGTATCTCTTTCCTCCTCTCACTCCCTATTATTACTGCTTCAATTTATTTGAATCACTTTTTTATTTTTATTTTTTCTTTTCTTTCTTTTGCAAAATCATACAGAGATAATCGATTTGGATTCCGAAACCCCAATCGCTGCAAATCAGGAACTTATAGGGAAGATAAAATCAATTATGAAATGGATAGTATTCTGCCCTGGACAATTTCTAGTTCAGTTTTGGAAAGTCATAGAAATTGGGGGTAGGCGTTTACTTACAACTCAAGACCAACCTTTTGGTCTTTCCACAACCCATGAAGGACTTTGTTCCTATAGATTGATATCACTGAATTATCAATTTTATGTGGATGGGGAGAGTGAGGCAGACCTTGGCCTCCCTGGCCGTGTTTTTCGACATCGAAGACCCGAGTCTAGCCCAAATGTTCAGTATTACTCTTGCAAAGAGTATCCACAGCGCGATCATGATGTGATTAGCAAGGTTAGAAGATCTTGGGCTTTGCCAGTGCTTGAAAGTTCTGGGCAGTGCTGTGTTGGTGTACTTGAGTTAGTAGCGGCTGCTGAACTTAAATTTTGAACCAAAATATCCCTTTATTAATTTAATAGATGGGATCTACAAACGGGTTGAGGTTTGTTCTTTTATCTCCATAATTGGAATTATTAGTCTCATTTTTATGTTTTGTTCTTTACTTTTGTTTTTGTACTTTGTTTATTCTCTTTTTGATGCCTATCACATGATTGTTTTTGCCGAACCCAATGCCTATTTTACTTGTTGGGTTCATTTTACTAGGCTAATCGGATAATTTTGCCCTTCCATAATTTTGTTACATGGATTTAACAACACTTCTCATGAGCTTATTGAGCCATTTATTCTGTATCGGATCAGTGATATGTGCATAACCATGTGCATTACTCTATAAAAATAAACTATGTTTGGCAACAAAAACATCCTATACTAGAGTAAGGTGGTGGCAACTTAAGTTGGTCTGTGTCTGTGATTTTCCATTTAGAGTATGCAATATATGCTTCTTTTAAATATCTTTCATTTCAAATCTGTTAAAGATTCTTCAGTTCCATCATTTTTGTTCCCCTGCAGGAAGTTGGTCTAAGAAGTTCAGAAACATGTAATCATTTGTATAATAAGCATGTAAGTGGCAAACTGTAATTTAAATGTCAAATCTTGTGTTGTTTTCTTCATTAGATACCGTAGCAATGCTGGTCTGACAAATATCTATTCATGAAAATGCTTTCAAACTAGAAGAAGTACGAGGATGAAGCTCTTAAAGATGCACTGGCTGAAATCAAGAAGGTGCTGATAGAGGTGTGTAAAAGTCATGATCTACCTTTGGCTCAGACTTGGGTCCCGTGTAGGCTTTGCAATCCTGCAGTTGCCGGTGGTAGCTTCAATGTAAGCTGCAGGGAACATCTCATGTTCAGATTTGATATTGCCTGTTGTAGGGATAAAGATAAGCTTCCTTTCGTAGATGTGTGTACTTTGCATTCCTTAGGAAAGGGGCAGGGGGTTGTTGGAAAGGCATTTTCGTCCCATAATTTGGTCTTCTGCAAAGATATTACTCAATTTAGCATAATTGAGTACCCCTTGGTATACTATGCATGCAAGTATGGACTTACTGGCTGTTTTTCAATTTGCTTGCGGAGTAGTTATACTGGAGACAATGTTTACGTGCTAGAATTCTTTCTACGCCCAAGCAACACTGAAGGTGGTGATCCCAAGATCGCCTTGGTTCCATTATTGACAACATTGAAGCAGCATTTTCGAAGTTTTAAGGTTGCTTCTGGAGAAGAACTAGGGGAGGAGTTATCTGTTGAAGTTATTGATTCTTCAAAAGATGATAAACTTGATTCTTTTCAGATACCCCAAATTGCAAGATCTCCAGATATGATGAAGAATGGAGGAGAGATGGACTACTTGGATTTATCAGATCAACAATTAATGGAAGAGGATGTAATAGACACTAGAAACAATGTTGTTCTTAACACACAAATAAACAACATCATTGTTACTTCCTCACAGCAAAAATGCATAACTAACTCGTCCCAGAGACAACAAAGAAAAGCAGGAATTCCAATTAGTTCTGAGGATATCCAGCAGCATGTTGGAATGAAACTTGACGATGCTGCAGCAAGCCTTCACGGTAAGCTTACAGCTTGGGAAAGATTGTTGCTAGCTCGATTCTTGGGAAAATTCATATACTTTTCCTAGTAGCAAACATAGAGTATTTTTTCTTATATGTATTGTTCCTTTTGCAGATAGCCAATCGACATTGAAGCGTGCTTGTAGTGAATATGGTATCACCGGGTGGTCATGTCGCAAGAGAAACAAGGATAACCTCGCCCCTTCCAATAAATTTGTCCAAGGTGTTGCTCAGGAACAAATCCAAGAATCTAGTCAACCTCCAATTTCCGATCCACCTTGTAAGCAAGATTTGGCTACTACTTACACAAAGGCACATTCTATGGCAACACAAGATACAAGTATTGTGACCATAAAGGCAAAACATGGAGAGAATTTTATTAAATTTAAGTTCCCGGTGTTGTCGGGGATGGTTGAGTTTCAACAAGAAGTGGCAAAGAGGCTGCACTTAGAGGATGGAACTTACAGTGTCAAGTATCAAGATGATGGCAATAATTGGATTTTAATAGCTTGCGACGAGGAACTCCGAGATTATATTTCCAAATCCAAATCCTTGGGGAAGAATATAGTCACAATGTCACTTGAGCCAAATTACAATAAATTTGTTCAAGGTGTCGCTCAGGAACAAATCCGAGAATCTTGTCAACCTCCAATTTCTGATCCACCTCGTAAGCAAGGTTTGGCTACTACTTGCGCAAAGGTACATTCTATGGCAACACAAGATATTGTGACCATAAAGGCAAAACATGGAGAGAATTTTATTAAATTTAAGCTCTCGGTGTTGTCGGGGATGGTTGAGTTTCAACAAGAAGTGGCCAAGAGGCTTCAATTAGAGGATGGAACTTACAGTGTCAAGTATCAAGATGATGGCAATAATTGGATTTTAATTGCTTGCGACGAGGAACTCCGAGATTATATTTCTAAATCCAAATCATTGGGGAAGAATATAGTCACAATGTCACTTGAGCCAAATTACGATGAACTTGTCCAAGGTGTCTCTCAGGAACAAATCCAAGAATCTAGTCAACCTCCAATTTTTGATCCACCTCGTAAGCAAGATTTGGCTACTACTTGCGCAAAGGTACATTCTCTAGCAACACAAGATACAAGTACTGTGACGATAAAGGCAAAACATGGAGAGAATTTTATTAAATTTAAACTCCCGGTGTTGTCGGGTATGGTTGAGTTTCAACAAGAAGTGGCAAAGAGGCTGCAATTAGAGGATGGAACTTACAGTGTCAAGTATCAAGATGATGGCAATAATTGGATTTTAATAGCTTGCGACGAGGAACTCCGAGATTATATTTCTAAATCCAAATCATTGGGGAAGAATATAGTCACAATGTCACTTGAGCCAAATTGCGATAAACTTGTCCAAGATGCTGCTCAGGAACAAATCCGAGAATCTAGTCAACCACCAATTTCTGATCCACCTCGTAAGCAAGATTTGGCTACTACTTGCGCAATGGTACATTCTCTGGCAACACAAGATACAAGTACTGTGACGATAAAGGCAAAACATGGAGAGAATTTTATTAAATTTAAGCTCCCGGTGTTGTCTGGTATGGTTGAGTTTCAACAAGAAGTGGCAAAGAGGCTGCAATTAGAGGATGGAACTTACAGTGTCAAGTATCAAGATGATGGCAATAATTGGATTTTAATAGCTTGCGACGAGGAACTCCAAGATTATATTTCTAAATCCAAATCATTGGGGAAGAATATAGTCACAATGTCACTTGAGCCAAATTACGATAAACTTGTTCAAGATGCTGCTCAGGAACAAATCCGAGAATCTAGTCAACCACCAATTTCTGATCCACCTCGTAAGCAAGATTTGGCTACTACTTGCACAAAGGTACATTCTCTGGCAACACAAGATACAAGTACTGTGACGATAAAGGCAAAACATGGAGAGAATTTTATTAAATTTAAGCTCCCGGTGTTGTCGGGTATGGTTGAGTTTCAACAAGAAGTTGCAAAGAGGCTGCAATTAGAGGATGGAACTTACAGTGTCAAGTATCAAGATGATGGCGATAATTGGATTTTAATAGCTTGCGATGAGGAACTCCGAGATTATATTTCTAAATCCAAATCATTGGGGAAGAATATAGTCACAATGTCACTTGAGCCAAATTGCGACATACTTGTCCAAGATGCTGCTCAGGAACAAATCCGAGAATCTAGTCAGCCTCCAATTTCTGATCCACCTCGTAAGGAAGATTTGGCTACTACTTGCGCAAAGGTACATTCTATGGCAACACAAGATACAAGCATTGTGACCATAAAGGCCAAACATGGAGAGAATTTTATTAAATTTAAGCTCCCGGTGTTGTCGGGGATGGTTGAGTTTCAACAAGAAGTGGCAAGGAGGCTGCACTTAGACGATGGAACTTACAGTGTCAAGTATCAAGATGATGGCAATAATTGGATTTTAATAGCTCGCGACGAGGAACTTCGAGATTATATTTCTAAATCCAAATCATTGGGGAAGAATATAGTCACAATGTTGCTTCAGCCAATTACTAGTTGTCCACCTTAAATCCTTGTTGAATATCCATCTATCACTTTATATGCTTGTGGAATTCGTGGTTTATGAATTTGTTGCTGGTCCATTTATTAATGAAGTACATTAATTGTAGTTCTCATCGAATATTATATGTTACAATATAATTGCCTTAGCATATCACCTATGAACCCCAACAAGAGAACAAAGGCAAAGGTTCAAAAGCAAGCACATGAAAGCATGGACTGGAAATCAATAAGTACACACCGCAAACTTCATAGTGCCTTATAATATTGGGTTGAAGAAATATACTTCTGAATTTTTATAGTATCACAGCTCAACGTGTCATTCATTAACCGGATTTCAGATACCCAAGCGGTGCTGGAGCTTCCTTGATAATGTATGTCCTACAATTCATTCCAATAAACCATTAATTGCCATCTAAACAAAGCTTCAGACAAAAAAATACAAGGTTTAGCTTCTCTTGACGTTGTGTTTGGTTGGAAAATTTAGAAAGGGATTTGGAAGTTGGAGAATTTAGAAAGGGATTTGGAAAGGAAACGAGAAAAGATATGTAAAATATAAATAAAATATTTTTACATTTCATTCAGTTACATACACTTTTTCCTTTTTATTTTTTAAATTATTTTTTAAATCTTCCAACTAAACATAGGTTTAGGTCTCGTTTGGCAACAAGTTATTTTAGTAACTTTTTAACTTTTTGGCTAAAATATGAGGTAAAAAAAACTAGTATGTTTGGGATGACTATTTGACTTTTTACGAAAATATGTACAAAAAGTAAAGAGAAAAGAAAATTTTTAATTTTTTTTTATATAAGTTAGTTTTTTGATTTTTTTAATAATTTTTTTTAAACAGTCACTTGTTTGACGAAACCTAAGTGATTGAACAATCCAGTCAAGTATTTTCCCTCCTAAGGGTTGGACTATCGAGAAGCATATGCCAAAAAAGGAATGCAAAGTGGTTAACATCACAGTGATGAGCCTCGTTTGCTCTTACAACCATGACGACATCATGGAGAGTGGAGTCAGGTGGCAATTGCTAGTAATCAATGGCTATTGCCAGAGCAGGGACATTCTCAATATTTCCCTTGTCCAATTTTTTGAGGAACTCAATGTAGGAATGAATTGCCTCCTCTTCCAAGTGCCCAACCACACGGTAAGCCAGTTTTGGCAAAATGAGGTATGCAAAGAAGTAAGCATTGAAGAGAACCCCCTGGCTCGTGAACACAAGGGCATACTCGTACCACCTTGGGTTGGCTACCTCCATGATTTGAAACCATGGTCATCCTAACTAATCATCTTAAATTGTCAACAAATATTTTGTCATTTTACTGATTTTAGAATCATAGATATGTGCATGTTGTTTTGAAATAATCTTTGCTTCACCACCGGCCTAACTGAGAGTTCTTTTTTACTGGCCTAACTACAAGTAGGAGCATGGAAGCTGAAATCAAGGGTTCAAAAATGGCGGCTAGTTTGAAAGTTTAGAAATTGTTATATTTGCATTTAATGATTTTATATTGTCAAGTTTATTTGTAAATAGCTTATCTATCAGAGCGATCGAATTATGGGAGTTGAGTCGAAGAATAAGAGTGTTAGAGAGTGTGAGTGTTTGAGAGAGAGATAATTTCCTCTCCTTGTTTGTATTCTAAAATATTTTAGTGAAATAAAATCTATTTTTTTAGATTATAAATTCTCTCTTTTGTGTTTATTTTTGTGAACCACCATAAATGGTTTGCACCCCACTTCCTCCAACATTGGTATCAAAGCTAGAAAAGCCAAGAAGTGGTTGAATTTCACAAAACAAATTGCGAAACAGAGCAAATTTTAGAATCTAAAATTTTCAAAGTTCTCAAAATCCAGTTCTAAGTATACCGGGTTGAAGTAGTTGTTGAGAGGATTCCAAGGACGCAAAAATTCAAGCAAATCAGAGCTAAAACAAAACCATATAGGCAGGTCAAAATTTGCACAGAAAAGTCAACTATGTTAGAGAAGACGACTGCCGCTGATGTCATATCACTGTTGCTGATGTCATCATTACCACCATTTGGTAAAAATTATTTGGTGCTTCTCGTGTCACAAATTTAACAAATCTGAGCCGACCAAATTGTTTTGGTTTGATCTAAGCCATCTAGACGCCAGTTTTAACAATCCAATAGTCATTTCCAACTATTTGGATTATTTCGATACATCCGTCTGGTCATAATTTGCAAATTACGTTTTCAAAATTTATAGATTTTATTTCAAGATTAGAGGATCAACTAATGGCCAACATGTAGCACCCCCGAAACAAATCCAATGAATCAACCATTAGGAACAAGTTCCACAATTCCAAACAACACAAATCAATTTCCAATATTTCTCTTTTTCACTGAACTATGTATTTCAACTTACATAATTACACATTTCTCTTTCTCATTGTCCTTATCTAGTATATTAATAATAGTCCACATCAAAGTGCCGCATTTATGGTAAGAAATCATGTAGAGATAAAAAGAGGGGAAGCTCGAATGATTATAAATTACAAAAGGTTAAATGATAACACAGAAGATGATAAGTATATTATACCAGATAAGAACCAGCTTATAAATAGAATACAAACAGCTTGAATATTTAGTAAATTTGATAGTAAGTCAGGATTTGGCAAATAAAAGTGGATAGGAAAAGCATACCTTGGACAACCTTTTGTTGATCACAAGGACAGTGTGAGCGGCTAATTATCCCTTTTGGATTTAAAAATGCACCTTCTATATTTCAACGTAAGATGGATAGTATATTTGATAAATATAATTTCGTATTGGTATATATAGATGATATATTAGTATTTAGCCCAGATAAAAATAACCATTTAGATCATTCATATATAGTATTAGAAGAATTTATAAACAATGGAATAATAATTAGCAAAAGAAAAATGGTATTAAACAAACCCCATATAGAATTTTTAGGAATGGAGTTAGGAGATGGAAAAATAAGACTACAACCACACATAGTAAAAAAAAATTTAGACTACCTAGAAAAATTAGAAGATACAAGACAACTTCAGTCATTTTTAGGAATTCTAAATTATGCAAGAATGTACATACCTAACCTTAGTAAGATAATAGGACCATTATATAGCAAGACCACACCCATAGGACAAGAGTATTTTAACCAACAAGATATAGCATTGGTAAAGAAAATTAAAGATAATTGTAGGAAGCTACCTGACTTACAACTTCCATTAGAATCAAAATATATAGTCGTAGAAACTGATGCAAGCCAGCTCGGATGGGGAACAGTACTATTAGCTAAAACCTAGTAAATATGATAGTAAGAATAAAGAGTGTATTTGTAGATATAGTTCTAGAAAATTTAAAGAAAAAGATACAACTATAACTAGTTTAGACTTTGAAATATTAGGAGTAGTATATGCAATAAATAAATTCAGATTATTTTTATACAAGCCTTTTACAATTAGAATTGATTGCGAAACTATAGTCAAATTTCATAATAAACTTAATAAGCATAAACTTAGCAGTAAAAGATGGGCAAAATTTTTGGATAGTATAGTAGGATAAGGATATAAAGTAGAATTTAAACATATTAAAGGGAGTGATAATAAGTTAACAGATTGGCTAAGTAGAAAAATTTATTTAGAAAAAGAAAATAATCAGTTTAATTTTTGTGCAGATAATGGAGAACATCAAAACAATGAACTTTGGGGATTTGCTTTTTCCATCTATAAGGGCAGAGCTAAGTTCAAACCATTAACAGGAATCCAGCTAGACCTGGTTCAACAATGTCTTTTAGATAATCTTAACCACCTAGCTAAACGTTTGTTAGTCCTAAACTCTCTCAGTATATACTTTTCAAAAATCCAAAATAAACCTTTGTCTAAAAATTTTTCCTTCTATGTCGTAGTTAAAGAAGCCAAACCTGACATATACCATGACTGGATAGAAGTTGAACCTTTAGTCAAAAATTTTCCCTCACCCTAATTTAAAGGATTTTATAATTTTGAGTCAGTCAGTACATATGTCCTCTGACAAATAGGAACCGGTTACGTTATTAGCCAGGCAGCTAAAGATTGTTTGGACACATTGGGCAAGATGCAGTCGTCTATTCTTGCTACAAGTGGAGTTCCAGTTAGCTAGATAACAAGAAGTTGTAGTACTAACCCTTAGCCTAACACAAAATCACAAAATTCTCTTTAATTGTGTAGACAATGCAAAGGCCTTACCACAAATTTGAAGAAAATCATGAATAAAGACAAAAGAGTCAGTGAAGAGCTAGACTAGCTCTGAGATGAAGAAAAACAATTGAAAGCAACCATTCGAACCTTAACTAGCCAGCTTAAATGTAACAATCCCGATCCATAATTAATTACTAATCCATAATTAAGGATGTTAATTAAGTGGTTAAAATAAATTATATGTTTATTATGTATTTTGTATGTTATTTGGCTTTCTATCTATTACTTATAGAAATATTTGTCTGGAATTCTGCTTTGATTTGAAAATTGATAGCCTTATTGGCCTCCGAACTGAAATTAGTTACATCAATATGTTATTCAGAATTTTTTGAATCATATGACAAATCTTATTAAAAACTGATTCAGTTTAATTAATTAAGTTGTGTTTGGTGGGCCAAATGTTTTAATTATTGTATTAAGCCACTACAACTACATAAACATCAGCCTTAAGCTCATTTGAGCTCATTTTTGCCCATTGTTGAGTGAAAAAATCTGAGATTGTATTCTAGAGAGAGAGTGAGTTCACATTTAGAGAGAGAAAGTGTAGGAATGGAAGAGAAATTGAAGGCTTTGGTTTGAATTCTTCAAGATTGTGCAAGTATCTAGCTAATTAAAGACTTCAGGTAAGAATTTAATCTCTAAATTGTGAATCCAAGTCATCTAGCATGAGATTTCATCAAGATTATGAGTTTAAATACATAAAATAAGCTTAGAATGAAGGAAATGGTGCTAAGTCATACATGCATGTATGAAATTGTGAAGAACTCTCAGGTTTGAACATCATTCATGCCATTAGAGATGAAATTAAAAGCTAGAAGTCACATGCATGCATAATTCATAAAGGTTTGAAGCTCAATTGCATGTATTTAAAGTGGAAGGAAAGAATTTGAATGAATTTGAGACATACATGCATGGAAATATGAAGT